ATGGTGAAGTGAAAAAGAGACTCTTTGTTGAACTGTTTCAGAAATATGCTGGGGTTATTTCAGTGCTGTAAGAATAAATAGAACTTCAGGCACTTTGGAGGATAATGTAAAAGTATGTGAGAGGACTCCGTGAATTTTCACAGGCAATATCTCTTGGCCAATTGTCTTCTAGCTTTCACTCTGACTTTAGAAGACATGATTGCAGTGCAATACGGTTTGTGCCCTTTGTGAGTGCACACAGACTGGCTTCTGGTTTAAAGACATGAGGGAAGCTTCTACTTAATACTGTGTTACTTAGGATTGTAAGGACAAAAAGAAACCAACAAGAAAACCATGAAACCTCAAGCACAAGAAAACATTGTAAGTTATTGGATAACTCATGATAAATGACACAAAATCATAGAATGCTTGACCTGGGTAGGAAACTAAAAATCCTCAGTTCAAGCTCTTCTTTAGCAAAGGAAGAGAACAAGACAGAAACTGAAATACCTTGCCCCATACTAGCCAATTATAACAGAATTGAAATCACTTCTCATAGCTTCCTGTCTCTGAGTGCTAGGGTGCCTTTCACTGGAAAATGCAAATCATTAGCAGAGTTACAAGTGGAAAGCATGTCACGTGGTGGTGCTGTAATGTGTCCAATCCATTGGCAGTCCCTAGACCTCTCAATTCTGTGGCCCCTGTAGCTATGCAAAAGCCACAGATAAGCCACAGTGTCTTGGCAGTGCAGGTACTCAGGCTCATCTGTTTGGGACAGCCCCAGGAAGAATAAAGTAACGGCACTTTTAGAGATAAAAATAACCATTCAAATTAAAGAGAGAGTGGTGCTGGAGCTGTGTAAAATAGACAAAGGTACAAGTTTAGGTAGTAAAGAAAGATGATTGATGGGAGGTGACAGTCTTTCCTTTGTATTACTTATTTGTCTAGCATCGAGATGTCCTCTTTTAATTACATAGGCTTTTAACACTATGAGAATTGGCCAGTTTAACAGAGAACTTTTTTTAAGTCTGGAATATGTCTTTCTAGCTGAAATCGTATATGAGAAATACAATTCTTTTCTATAAAAGTATTTGTTTAAGTTGATATTTTGAGCTTTCCTATAGAAACGAAGCCACGTCCACATGGCTGTCAACATCCCAGAACTTCAGTATGGAGGATGGTGCTTTCTATTGCTCACATCTCTTCTTCGTGCCAGGGCACACCAGAAAGAAACTTTTCTTCTAAGTCACACTGCTAAGCCATCAGACATACATTAGAAAATAATTATTAAATCAATATCAGTTTGTGTTATGAACTTGGGTCTCCGGTCTGACTATTTTTCCTAAACTCTCCTTTTTGGTAACTTGATATAACAAACAGGCTCAGAATGAAGGAGAAAGGAAAAGCTAGATCAACCCTTTGGTTTTCCTGGGTTTTATCTTAGCAGGTTTTTGAGTGGTTCAAATAAAATAATATATGTAAACGTCCTTTGGTAAACTTTAAAACACTGCAGCAATTAAAGATACAATAGTGACTTTAAACATTAACTCAAGGAAGTTTGTTCTAATTGATAGTGTTAAAACATATAAAAAGATAAATATATATCAGAAAGTTGCGATGGCTCATACTTGTAATCCCAGTGCTTTGGGAGGCAGAGGTGGGAGAATCACTTGAACCAGGAGTTCGAGACCAGCCTGGGCAGCATAGTGAGACCCCCATCTCTACCAAAAGTTAAAAAAACTAGCCAGATATGATAGTGCATGGCTGTAGTTCCAGATACTTGAGAGGCTAGGGCAGGAGGATCCCTTGAGCCTAGGTGTTCAAGGCTGCATTGAGTCATGATCACCCCACTGCACTTCAGCTTGATTGAGAGAGTGAGGCCTCATCTCTTAAAAACAATCAGAAGAAAAAAAAAAAAAAAGGAAAGTAAACTAATGTCACATGTATTACACTAGTAGGCTTTAACCTCAGTATGCATACTGATTATCTCACTTGATCTTGTCAACCTTTAAGAGGAATACTATTATTATTATTTCCATGTTAAATATGAAAGTTGAGGCTAAAAAAGATCATATAACTAATAAGTAGCATTAGTCATTTATAACTCCAGAATATATGCTTCTGACCACTAGGCTCTAATACATGAAATGGAAGTGATACATTCCACTGCACTGCAGAAACGCTTGGTAGATAACTTTATCATTCTGCTGGACATATGCTAAGCATATCAGGTTTTGTTTGGTTAGGCTTTCTTTCATTTTAGTGACAAATCTTGAAAGACAAACTATGCTATGTTCTTTATGAAGGGAGCTCAGAGCAAAATAGGCTGTCATTAGCTGGCAAACATCAGTGATTCTTGTGAAAGACTATTATCTTTGGTGATAGAAGAAGTACTAGGCTAAGGATTCGGAGCCAGGAATCTGTCATTTCCTGGCTATGAAATTTATGTAAGCAATATTACTGGAATACACAGTCTACATATCCTTTTTAGCTCCAAAATTCTATGATTCTCTTATAGAGCCCTTCATCTGAAGATCTGGCATTGCCTTTTTAAAAGGCACATGTAGGCCAGGTACAGTGCCTCACATCTGAAATCCCAGCAATTTGGGAGACCAAGGTGGTGGATCACCTGAGGTCAGGAGTTCAGAACCAGCCTGGTCAACATAGTAAAACCTTGTATCTACTAAAACATACAAAAATTAGCCGGGCATGGTGGCAGGAGCCTGTAATCCCAGCGACTCAGGAAGCTGAGAAAGGAGAATTGCTTGAACCTGGAGGCAGAGGTTGCAGTGAGCAGAGTTTGTGCCATTGCACTCCAGCCTGGGCAACAAGAATGAAACTGCATCTCAAAAAAAAAAAAAAAAAAAAACCATGTATAATTTAAATCACAGGGAAAAATGTTTTATACTTGGTTATGACGACAGCTGTCCAACTCTGTGAATATACTAAAAGCCATTGAATTGCACACTTTAAATGAGTGAGTTTTATGCTGTGTGAATTAAATCTCAATTAAACATATATGATAGCGTATATATATATGATAAAACACACACGCACCAACCTCCCATTTAAACATTGTTTCCTAGAAAAGCAGCAGCAGCCAATTGATATTAAAATGAATAAAGTGAAATATTAAAGTAAAAATATAATAATATATTATACAAAGTACTCTGATAATTGTCAGTGTGATATAAGAAAAGATTTATCTCATGAAGAAAATATATATGGTATACTTTCTGGAATAGAGCTTTGAACATCTCTCCTCCATAATTGTCTCCTAATATCAGCTTTGGTGCACCTTTCTAGCTGATGATAGCTGCACAACTCTGTGAATATACAGAAATTGTTTGTTATGTTCAGTTGCACTTACACAGGTGTTCTAACTCAAGAGCGAGGCTGTTTCAATGTCAGCCCAATTGTTCTGAATCCACAGTCTGCAATTTCTTGTCATGTTTCCATCATTCTCCTTCGCATTTTACAGATATAGAAACAGAGCAGAGAGGGATACATTATTTATCCCTGGTTACCCAGAACTTAAGTCAGGGTCTAGATCAACACATCACTACTAAATAGCACAATAATAAAAAGACACTCTTTACCTTGCAATATTTTAATTTAACACAATAGTGACTTATATAGACATGTACTCAAAATGTATCCTACATTTTTGGATTCAATTATTACTGCCTGGACCAATTGCTAGTATATATTTTTGTTTGTGGGCATAAAGTTTATTCAGCTCTCTTTTTGCCCTTATTTACAAGAGAATGTGAGAGTATAAATATAGATAATCATGACTAGAAATAAGAGTGTCAGTAGGCTCGATTTATAATACTGTATCTTCCTCTCTTCTATATACACAGAAACCCAAAAGAAGAAGCACAGAAGCACACACAAATTTTCTCCAAACATCTATATTTTTCTTACATCCTAGACATCATTCTGCTAAGAGTGTTTTAAGATTTCTCCTGCTAAAGTAAAAATTGAGTCAGAAAATTACTGATTTTTTTTTGCCAAATGAGTGTCTTATTACTGAGCCAAGAAGATAGTTTTTCTAGTACTAATGTCATGTACAATGTTGTCAGGTGTCGCATTGCCTGACTGGAGATTTTTCCCTTCACCCAGCAGCAATATCATAAAGAAGGAAGCATGTTTCTGCAAAGAAAACTAAAAGCAGTTTTGCAAATAATGATAATATAATGTGTATGTAGTATTGAATATCACTAACCAAAATTTCTGCACACATTTCATTTTTAGGACGGGAAATTTCTATTTAGTCTATGGCTTTGTATGTGACTGTCAGCCAGTTTCTTACTCAGAAGATGATGATGGCATATTTTTTTTCCATCTGGATTATTTTCTTGGGATTTCTGGCCATCCTGTTTAGACTCCTGCTGCTAGCAGGTGGGTCTCATCAGCATCCAAATGCAGGGACTGAGATGCTCTATAAATGCCTGACTAAGGAGGTTAGAGAAAGTTTCCTCTTTTACAAATACCCACAGGATACAAGACCTCAAAGACATATGCCTAGCTTTTGTAGACATTTCTGTAGAATTTTTTTTTCTTATGGGACTCTTGCCACATTTCCCTCAAGCCTTTAAAAATATGGTATTTTTTCATGTTTGAGCCTAGTTTTTTCCATTGTAGGTGAATATTATTTAAGGAGGAGTTATTTTTGGATCTGAAACTAATGAAACTGGAAAGAGTACAAACATACCTTTATCACTGGAGAGATCTTCCTATAAACCCTTTTCTCCCTTATGTTATGTATCACAGAAGAAAATGTTCATGATGTGCCAGTGTAAAGACTTGATATGGGCTGAGCTGTGTGCCTCCCAAATCCATACGTTGAAGCCCTACCCCCCCAGTGTGATGGCATTTGGAGATGGAGCTTTTGATAAATAATTAGGTTTAGATGAAGCCATGATGATGGGGCCCCCACAATGGGATTAATGCCCTTGTAAGAAGAGATGCTGGGAGCTTATGCTTGTGTGCTTGCATTCTCTCGCTTTCTTTCTCCGTCTTCTTGTATGTGAGGACATAAGGTTCAGTCTACCGTTTACAAGATAGAAACAGCTCTCACCTGAAATAGTACTGCCAGACCTTGATCTTGGACTCTCTAGTCTCTACAACTGTGAGAAAATTAATTTCTGTTTTTTAAGCCACCTATTCTATGGCAGTCTAAAATGACTAAGGGGCTTTCCATATAGCAAATATCTATGTAAATATGACTTGGTTACTTTGGGTAACAAAGAGCTTGAGTACTTTGATTATAAAGTAGCCAAGCTTTAATTATCCACTAACATAACCCACTGCACAAAATATCAAGAGGTTATAGCTGTAGAAAAATGCAGCATATTTTGTCCCAGAAAATGTTCATGTTTCTCTCTCAGGTTAAGAGACTCCATCATTAAATAGCAGGGCTCAGAGAGTTTATTGTGTTTTACTTTCTTTTACCTCCTACAGAGAGTGGTGAAATCAGAAAGACAAAGCAAGGTTAGAATACAGCCATGCAAAGAAAATATGGACCTGAAGAAAAATAAGCCGTGGACTATCTTCGGTCTCATGCTAGCAGTGGAGTGGGAAAAGGACTCAGAAGACTCTTACTGGCCATGATGAAGTACCTGTTACTAGATTTGCTTTCCTACCATAAGCAACTTTAAAACTGGATAATGGATATGACAGCTGATCTTATGCATTTCAAGCAACACAGGATTCTGATAATTAAAAGAAGGAAAGCACACGAGGTGAGCTCGGACATTCACCCTATTTTTTGGCCTGGGGATATTCTTCCTATGGTGGCACAAGAGGCACAGTCCAAGTAGAGTGGCAGTTTCACTAAATTGAAGAGGCAGAAATCAGAGTTCTGGGCTCTTGACATGGCTAAATTTGCAGAGCAGGAAACCAGAAGAGAACTGAGCCTTGTGTGTGAGAGGTGGGGGAGTGGAGAGCACAGAAATATGCATGGAGGCTCATTCTGGATTCTTAACCAGGGGCTGGGCTGTGTGTGCAAGGCCTAGTAGAGTAGCTGCCAAGAGATTGAGAGTCGAATGGAGATACCAGAGATTGCTTTGTGCTGGGAAACCCTGAAGCTCCAGTTCAGCCAGAATGGAGAGTCCTTACTGCCTTGAGAATGTAACCGAGATCTTAGAAAAGCCACACCTTTTGAGTAAGGACCACATGTTGTGGTAAGGGTCTCATTCTAAGACTAAGGATCAAACCAAAATAGACCTATGATTACAAAGACTAAAACCAAACCTAACAAGAGCAAAAAGTCCTTCTAGTAATTTAATTGCCTGCCAGAATAAAAGGCAATCTCCTTTAAATAAATGCAACTTATTCCAGCCTTCTGCAAGTTATAATTTCAACTCCACCATATTATAAACAGTTACTTGACTTCCAAAGAAACAAAAAAGTGACACATAAACAAGAAAATGCATTTGATTAAAACAAAGATGAGTTAGATATAATTCTAAACACATATAAGAATGTTAAAAAACTATTATAGATAATGTTTAAAGACAAAGATGATCTTAATGAGTGCACTAATAGGGTATCTAAGCACAAAATTGAGATCTATAAAAAAGAAACAGATGAAAATTCTAGAATTAAAAAGCACAATAAAAAATTCACTGGGTAGACTTAACAGCAGATTGGAGATGGTAGAAATTTGTCATTGAACTTGAAGACATAGCTGTAGAATTGTCCAATCTGAAGAACACTGAGAAAAAACATTTAGTAAATTCACCAAGCCTCCATGACCTGTGGAACTCTATTAAGCATCTGTCATTGGAGGGAGATGAAAGAGTGGGGCAGAAACAAGAATTAATAGTTGAAAACTTCATAAATGTGATGAAAACTATCAAATTACATATCCAAGCACCTTAGCAAATCCCATACAAGATAGATTGAAAACCTTACAGCATTATCGTCCAACTACTAGAACCAAAGATATCAAGAAAAAATATATACATTTTGAATCTTAAGTACCAGCTTTTGGGAAAGACAGTAAATTTTGCACCAGATTCACAATAAAGAAAGTGATTTTGTTATAAATCTCAGGAAGACAGAGCAAAATTAGCTCTCAAAACTCACAAATATTTCAGTCTATTTCATCATGATAAAGATTAATCAGACAGGGATTTGGAGCGGAGGTCAGTACTGATAATAGTTTGCATTTTACTATGTTATTCTTTTTACCTATATCTTTTGGGAAGCAAGTTCAGCAACAGGAGTAGGTGGCTATAGAAGGTTAGGGGATTCACTCTTTTGTTATTACCATAACTGATGGCATATTTTTCAAAAGGCTAATCTAACATTTTTAAAATTTTATTTCTTACTTCTAGGGTTTATTTAAAACAATAATTGCATCTGATTGAATCATCAAACAATTAAACATTTACTATGTGTCACGTGCTTTTTTGATCCCCCTAACATTATTAGAAATAAGCACTATAGTCACTATTTTTACGGTAGAGGACATTGAAACTTAACAGAGGTTAGGAAAACTTGCCCTAATCATGCAGCTACTTAACTAGGGATTCAAATTCTGTATTATCTAACTCTAAAACAAATGTTTTTTTTCAGTGTTATTCAAATAATTTTATAATTACCTGGATTTATAAGGGATTTTTGTTTGTTTTATTTTCTCCTGTATTTTTGGAAAGAAGCTTTAAAATTAAACATCTCTTATAGAATTGCTCAGGTAAGAGCAACTCTTGCATAGCCAAATGCTTTAATGTGCTCCATCAGCAAGGAATAGGTAAAAGACTAAGGTAAAATGCTAATTAGTCAATGCTATAAGATTAATTATTAGGACAGCATTGCTTATGTATGGCCGCAAACACAGAATAATATGTAATAAAGCTAAAATAGAAAATTCTGGTTGTCATAACTAAGGACATTTGATTTTTAATATTATATAAAATGATATAGAGATGTGCCAAAAATAATGTAACAACCATTCATGTGTTGGTCATATTTAAACAAATACTAACTTTTAAGAATATTTGCTTCAATTTTTTTTTTTTTTTTTTTTTAGACATAGTCTTGCTCTGTCGCCAGGTGCCAGGCTGGAGTGCAGTGGTGTGATCTTGGCTCACTACAACCTCTGCCTACCAGGTTCAAGCAATTCTCCTGCCTCAGCCTCCCAGGTAGCTGGGACTACAGGCACACGCCACCATGCCCAGCTAATTTTTCTTTTTTTTTTTTTGGTATTTTTAGTAGAGATGGGGTTTCACCATGTTGGCCAGGATGGTCTTGATCTCTTGACCTCGTGATCCACCCACCTTGGCCTCCCAAAGTGCTGGGATTACAGGCTTGAGCCACCGTGCCCAGCCTGCTTCAATTTTTAAAGGAAAAAATAATTACATGAATAACTCCCGTACATAAGCATTTCCCTCTGTGATACACATGAGTGCTACTCACCAATAGTTATGATTCTTTTTCTTTTAGTATAGATGGGATTGCATTTCTCTTCTCCTTGGGCTTGGGTCTAGCTTGATAAATGGCTTTATCCAATAAAATATGATAGAAGTTACATCGGTAACTTCCATGTAGAATTGCCAATACTAATATGCAATAGCCTCCAAAGCTTTCCTCCTTTGCTACTACGGTCTTGAAGGACATGTTAATGTGGAGGTGAAATGTCAAGCCATTGCATTAAGAACAGTTGCCTTTGGTAACAGACTTTCTGTTTTAAGCCAGCAATATTGTGGGGTGGTTTGTTTATCATCACAATCTAAAGTATCCTGACTACAACACCCTCTCAGCACCTCATCAACACCCTCTCACCCTTCCAAATCAGCAAAGGAAATAAAGACCACCACTGTCAAAATTCGCCTTTATTTCCTTTGCTGATTTGGAAGTATTGATTATGTTTCTTTTCATTCAGTGAACACCCACTACATTTTACTTACTTAAATATACATTTTTTTTCTAACAAAGTTTAAAGTTATTAAAAATATCTATCTATACTTCAAAATGCATAATATGCTTTGCCTATTCACACAATCCCAATTCCATATCATCCTTATTAACTATGATATGGAATTTTATCTATCATTTTTAAAGTAGAAAATACTCTTAAGCTTTTATCATCTAAACTTTTAAAGATTCGTTCTTATTCTAAAATAATAATTTAATTAAGTATAGAATTCTAATGGAAAGTTATTTAACCCTGGAACTGGAAGATATCACTCCACTTGGTTCTATAATTTATTGTTACTGATAAGAGTTGTTTTGTCTTACGAATGTTTTTCATTTATAATTAGTCTTTTTTAAAAAAATATTTTATATTTATCCTTGATGCACTGTATTTAGTTTCCTTGCAATATACTTAAATGTGAATTTATTTCTATTGATCATACATTGCATTGTACTTTTTGTATACTTTCAGTCTCAGAAGTCATGTCTTTTTTTTAATTCTAGAAAGTTTTCTATTAATAATCCTTTAATCAGTAATACTAGTTTTCATATTGACAATCCATTGATTAGTTTATGCTCTTCCCAGGTGTGTAAGTGTGCTAAATTTAGAAAGCAAGTTATTATTCTTTAAGCGTATCTCTAAATGTGAGAATAAAATATTCTCTTGGCCTGGCATGGTGGCTCCTGCCTGTAATCCTAGCACTTTGTGAGGCTGAGTCTGGAAGATGACTGGAAGCCAGGAGTTTGAGACCAACCTGGGAAAAATAGAAACATCCTATCTTTACTAAAAAATTTTTAAAAATTAGCCAGTAGCTAATTTTGGCGGCACATGGTAGCACATGCCTGCAGCCCCAGCTACTTGTGAGGCAGAGGCAGGAAGATTGCTTGAGCCCAGGAGTTTGAGGCTGCAGTGAACTCTGATCATTCCACAGTACTTCAGCCTGGGTGACAGAGCAAGACCCTGTCTTTAAGTAAGACAAAACAAAACTAAATTAAACTAAAAAATGCTCCCAAACTACCCTATTTGTGTAGGTTGTTGCAATAACGGTACTGATACATGATGCCTCTCACTATCTAAGCTCTTCTGTAGCCCTTTCCATACTCACGCTAGGCTTGGTCATGTGATTTGCTTTGTCCAATAGGATATCAGCAAATGTGACATAGGCAGAGGCTGAATATATGCTTGTGCACTGGGGACGGCCATGTTGGAACCCTGAGATCACTGTCTTACAAGGACGCATTGTCTAGCCTTCCTAACATGACCCCAGCCAACCCTCTACTAGAATGCAGCCACAGGAAATAGAAGCAGAACTAAGCCAACAATCAGAATTATGAAAAAGAATAATTTATTGTTGTGTTAAGCCACTGAGTTTTGGAGTATTTTCGTATACAACAGTAGTTAAATAATACAATGCCTGATTTTTAAATCTCTCCCTCCCAATAATATGTTTGAAATTGCATACAAATTTGTATACCTAGTTAAGATGATGGCATACAAAATAAGCTTTTCAGATTTTGCTACTTATGTTTTGTTATTCCTATAATGAAGTCATAGTATTCTGGGGTACAATTAATTGTATTTATGAACTTATATCAGACTCAAGATCTCAACTCAGGAAAAAAAACCCAACAGATTAAATATATAAATAAACAATTTTGAGGTCATGGAGAGAAATCAAGATTACATTGTTATAGGTAGAAAACTGTTCATTTGAAAATGCCAAGCCTCTGAAGAAAATAGCAGGGTGATGTTGGGAGGTGCAGTGGAAGCTACGAATAGTAATTATTGTTATGATTTTCATTCCCTAAGAAATGAAGTCCAATTTTACATGGAAAAGGCACATGGTTGCCTCTCATGTTTACGTGGAGACTTCCTGTCATAGTCCCTTGGAAGCTATGTGGCTAACTTAATGATCAAACTTCCAGTTAGTCATTTGCTGATGTTAAACCTGGCAGGGTGAATTGTACAGTTGAGAAAGTGACCACTCTCATGATGGAATTTAGGTAGAACAACTACAAAGTGATTTCCAAGTGGCCTTATGGGCATGGACAACTCCCTCCTTAAAAGCAAATTACTTCTTTATGTTTTACTGTGTGTCTATGTCTTTTGAGCTCAGAATTATTCCGACTTAAGGTTAATGAATATATATATATATATATATATATATAATATTTCTCTCTGATGCAGTGTACTGTATTTAGTTTCCTTGCAATGTATCCAAATGTGAATTTATTTCTATTGACCACACATTTTACTTTTTGTACACTTTCAATCTCAGAACACATTTTTTTTTTTTAATTCTAGAAAGTTCTCTATTAACCCTTCAATCAGTACTATCAGTTCTCATATTGACCACCCATTGATTAGTTTATGCTCTCCTCAGGTATGTAAGTGTGCTAAATTCAGAACACAAGTTATTATTTTGTAAGGGTATCTCTAAATGTGAGAACACACACACACACACACACACACACACACACATATATATACACACATTTATATATTTTTGAGACAGATTCTCACTCTGTTGCTCAGGTTGGAGTGCAGTGGGACAATCTTGGCTCACTGCAACCTTCGCCTTCCAGATTCAAGCAATTCTCGTGCCTCTGCCTCCCAAGTAGCTGGGATTATAGATGTATGCCACCACACCTAGCTAGTTTTTGTTTGTTTATTTGTTTTTGTAAATATGGGGTTTCACTATGTTGGCCAGGCTGGCCTCAAACTCCTTACCTCAAGTGACCCACCTGCCTTGACCTCCCAAAGTGCTAGGATTATAGGCATGAGCCACCTTGCTTGGCCGGCTAATGAATATATTAAGAAAATGGAATAAACTCAGTTAGGTCTGATAAAGTGGTAACCATCTTTAGTGAGTAACCTGGAACTTCCCTAAGAGCCTGGTTGGGAGGGTATAGAAGCTAAGCTAATAGTTAGGTTCACTGCAGCCAAAAGTTTCTTTATTTTTAAGGAATACCTTTATATGCAAACATAAATTAGGAAAATGATTATTTTCCTAACAAATTCAAACAAATAATGAAAGGAAAATAAAAGATTTTAGAGGAGTTGTTTGCACATTTTACATCCTTACAATCAGTCTGATAATACTTTTATTTATCCCCAGCCAACTTTTTATTTCAACAGGTAGAGATGCCTCTTGTAGTCATGATATTTCCTCTCCAGTAACTAAGACTTGAGAAATCATAAGGACACTAACAATGCACTGTAGTAAGTAACATATAAACAGTTTTTACCTTCTAGATGGACTGGGGAAGGCTTTCTAATGCAGATGATAATTCAATGCGTCTGTACAGAGTGAATAGACTTTGCGAGATAAGACATGAGAATAAAGCATTTCCAGACTAATGAAAGAGAAAGGTAATGGCACGAAAATATTGAAACCTAAGTCAGGGGAGTCATTTTAGTTGTCCTGCTTAGTTAGGATTTAGGATACATGGACACGTTGGGATAGTTATCAACTGCAATTGAAACTTTGTTCGGAGTAAGATTTTAAGGAATCTTGTCTGCCAAAGCAATCAATTTGCTTATCATTTGTGGGGGCTACCAGATATTACTAGGCAGAGAAAAGAAAAATGAGAACTGGGCATTTTTAAATTTTTCCTTTTTCCCATATCCATATATTAGGATAATACTGGTGGCTGCCATGGGAGAGGACTGCACAAAAAGAACAAGTTTAAGAGCTTCAGCAGTCATAAATGGCTTGAGAAAATTATGCTAGAGATTGAAGCAGATGGAAGAGTCTAGAAACAGTAAGTCTTCTTTTCATTGGTGTGAGTCTTGAATATAAATGGAAATCAGAGGTCTGTAATATCAGGCCAATGTGGGTAAGGCAGTAAGGTTTTGAGTCTGAGATGACGACTGGGGGCAGGCTGTAGACTTATTGTCAGTCCTGTGCAGCATTTGAGAATATAGCTGGGGATTAAAATTCCAGTTTCAAACTGAAGACAAAAGAAGTTAGCAAGACCAGATGAGGACAGAAGCCTGGGAATTGTGTCTCAAGATCTTCATTGAGAGGGCATTCCTATACAACAGCCCCCTATGGGCAGGGTTATGGCCGTTGTTGCTAAGCTGTCTTCCCTATTAGGCTGGCTTCTGTGGGGTAATTAACCGGTACAACGAACTATGGGAAGCTCTTCTGAGAAGACCACACATTAAAACAAAGTGTCCTTACTCAAGCTGGGTCATATTTGGGTATTTTATTATGGTAGCTTTGAGAAAGGATATCAAACTGACATATTCACCTATGAGTTTAGGATCAATGGAGGGAAGAGAACAGAAGGGCCACACAGAAGGGGAAGCTCAGGCACAGATGGCCAGGAGCCAGGCTCATTGTAGAGGTGAGATAATCAAAGTTGGCCGTACAAAGGCTGCCCAGGTAAGATGCTTCCAATAGCCAGGAAGCATGTGGACAGGGCAGAATTTGTTCCATTTGAAGTTAGATTATATATGAAGATACTTATAATCAAATAAATGCAGAACATATCTGGAAAGGGAAATAAAGTAAGAGTTAATAATATTTTTAACAAATTATGATTGAAATCTAAAATGTCAACATAAAACATTGTACAAGGGTTTAATACATCAATGCCACTTTAACTCATATTGTATATACTAACATTTAGACAAAGAATGTCTAAATATTAGTACAAAATAGCTACTTATGGAATGCTTGTAAAAAGGAAAAGGTTGCCTTCCAGTACACTGTATCAGAGAGCCATGATAATAGCCATAGCTTAAACAGAACAAAGCAAAACTTAAAAACCCGAAAAACTATGCATCACTACTACCACCATTCTCTAAAAATGCAAAGCTGTTGTTTATGGGGCATACTGATTCAGTTAACCTCCTTCTTGCCTTTAATTAAATACACGCCCCTGACTTAATTGAAGTGTTTTAGTTAACTTAGCATAAAAATAACAGGTTGTAGCTAGAAAGTGATTATGAAATACTGTAGAAAAAAAAAGCCTGGGAATGTGAAGAGGTTTTTAAGAAATTCAATGATGGAATAAGAAATATTAGAGCGATAAGCTGAAAGATACATAGGACTGAAGTTTTTTAAACTCTACATTTATCAAAGTATTGCGTCAATTTTATTGTGGAAGTTAAAAACTATTTCAAGAAAAAGCTCAAATTATTGTATTGCGCTGGAATTTTAGTTTATCTATTAAGATTTGCAAGGAGCAAAACAGCAGATTCCTTGTTATAATGCTGCTTGTCCTAATGAAGGGAACTTAAGGGAGGCGGAGACTTTTTCAGTATGAAAGCCAAACAGCAAGCAACTGTCTCTTCTACAGAAGTGCAACCTCACAGAGTTCTGAGATTTTTTGCCATATCACAGCTGGGACCTTGTAGGGTAAATTAGTGTGTGTTCCTCAGCATCCTAGGCAAGGTTCAGATATCCTTTCAATCATTCTCTGGGAATTCTGGCTTCTGAGAATTTGATATGAAACGGAAATTGAGTAAAATGAAGAAAAGACAGAAATTGGGATAAGACCAACCATTTTTTTCCTTAGTACAGGGTAACCATATAACTTATTTTCAAGCTTGGACAGACTCTGAAGGGGACTCCTTTAAGAATTGTGCCAAGACAATGGGTAACAACTGTCCCAGGCAAATGGAACATATACTAAGTTTAGTCATAGAGAATCTATGTCTAATATATTGTTTCTTTAATTTTTGTATACCTTAGTAGCTAAATATAACTAAGTGTAGCTAGTCTTTATAAAGTGTAAGCTTTTTATTCTTTAATACTGTGTCACTTTATGAGACTATTTGATGTCACATAGACTCTGTACCCCTGAGTTTACCTGGAATAAAAAGTCATGATTCAAAAAGTTGAAACAAACAATTGTTAACTAAATAACTCCAAAGAGCCCTAAGAAATCACACAAATATGGATTTCTACTCTGTAAGTTTAATTAGTCATAGTATAAAGTGACCTATGAAGAAGCCTCATGCCTCATGAATAATGAGCATTGAATCTGTTCATAAATAATAGATTAAACTTTAAATCAATATCCATTAGAGAAAACAGAAATACATTATGGTGAGTTTCATTCATATTTATATCTGCCCTTTTCCATATATTTTAATTAAACCAATTTAAGTCATAAATTCTTCAATTATAATTAAAGCGTAGGTCCTTTACTCAAAAACTAAAGACACTTATCTAGCATTAAAAGAGGAAGAAGGAAGTGATCACTGACAACTGGAATCAGTGGTCATATACAGACAAATATAAACCATGGTTCTCAGGGCCACTGTTTGTTTTTGTTTTGTGGGGATTTTTTGGTTTGTCTTTGGGAGGGGTGGTTTTTGCCAATATTAAAATTGTTCTCCAATGTCAGAGTCATCTTTCTAAATCTAATTGCTAATACTATGGCATCCTCTTTTTTGCTATTCTTAGTATTATAAGAATGTGAACTCAGAACCTATTAATAGAAAGCCTTCCCTTTGGAAAATGGAGCTTAGACCCAGAAGGGAGGGTGGTGCATACTGCTCTCCTCCTCTAAATAGTCTCTCCCCCAGGTTTCCCCTCCTTCTCCTCCTCCTCCTTGCTCTGCAGGACAGCCCCTCTATCTCTTCACCATTCTGACCCTGTTATATTTCTTTTTATAGAATTTTTTAAATAAAATTCTTTTATAGTTAGAGTCCTATTTCTTTTTTCCTTTTTATTTTAGGCCTAATCTATCAATTATTAACATATACAGTTTTTCTAATGTGGGAGGAACAAGATTGCTCATTCATTCAACACATTTTGATTGAGAGCCCACCATGTTCCAGATGCAAGGATCAGCAGTGAATAAAAAGAGATGAAAATCCCTGCCCTCATGAATCTTAGAGGATAAAAGAAAACCACTCTCAGGTTCATCAAAAGAGTATAATATATATAAAACAACCCTTTCTAGTACTAAGATTAACTAGCTTTATCTTCTGGTATTCATTTCATAATATATGCAGTTTTTATGTTACATAAAATGCATATGTAAATGCATAGAAAAGTTTGGGAATAACAATAATAAAATAGGTTCATTATGCATGTGTGTGTTGTATAGGTGTGTAATCATACAATACATATTTAGTAATTTGTGTTAGATATAGTAAACTGTAAGTTTCTCTTCAAAAGATCAGTATGTCAGTATGCTCAGCTCTCTTATTTTTTAATTCTCCACTTTAAAGTTTAACTTTCTTTTAGTTTCAGTAAACAACATTTTCCACCAGTTCTAATCAGTATTTCACATCTGTTCCCCCAGTCCCTTTCTCTAACATGACTCATCCTGGTCACCTGCTCTGATTACCTGCTTTGACCCCTGGTTACTTGCTCTGATCTGAGTCACCTCTGGTCACCTGCTCTGACCTGTCCCATAACCATCCTTCCAGTCAAGCTACCCACCCTGACACTCCAGCTTGTAGCCTTGCTCTCTTTAAAATAGCCAATCAGAATTAGCCTAGACTGTGCAGTCTAGCCTTAGCCAATAGGGGAATGACACAGCAGTAGGGGTGATCTCTGTCAGGAATAAGAACCCCTTCCTCTCCCTTGTCTAGGTGAGCACCTGCCATTATTCCATCTGCGAGTCATACCCTAAAATGCTTTGCTGAGGAAATTTATATTCAAGTGCTGCTTCTTTTGGGGCACCAAAAATTTACATATAACATTTGCTTTTGGCATTTAATAGATTAGTTTTTTCCTTGTTTTTGTCATCAAACAAAATATATTTCCCTATCAGCATACATAAATTTATCTCATCATTTTTATGACTACTTAGTGAAGATGTGCCTTGTACCTATTGCAGGACATTCAGGTTGCTTCCAAATGTCAGTGTTTTTGATAATGCCAGACTGTCTTGAACGTACCTTTTGCAAAGATGTCAGGATTCCTGTGGGATTGATTCTGAGTTGCTAAGTCAAAGGAGATTATTATGTTACCGTTAGACAAACATTGCCTATTCAAGGATGTGCCTCAGCATCTGGAGAAAATGCAACTCAGAGGAAAAGTATTGGATATGAAAGAAAAAACTTTGTACTGATTTATCTAGGATATGGCTGCATTCCTCCTTTACCAGAAGCAGGAGTCTCTCTTGTCACTATAACAATGGAAAATAAAGGTACAGAACATAAGAAATAATTGTGTACATTTAGGGGGTGGGATTAGAAAGAATGAAGAAACTGGGGGCAATGAAACTTTTTACTTTTCCCTTCCATAATATTTGACTTGTTTATAACAGGTAGGTTTCCATTTTATTTAAAACTAAGTAAATTTTCATAAACTATATACAAAGAAAATAATATTTTCCCTGTATTCTCCCAGTGAAAATCATAAGGCTTCATTCATCCAAGAGAAATGACAGGTTTGGGTTTTTTTTAAATAAAGTTTAATTAGCTGCTTCTGAAAACTTTAGGGTGATAGGAGAAAGATTGTCCAAGTAATCAACTTTTAAAGTCAAGAATGAAAAATAAATTTTAAAGCCCTCTCAACTTCAATCCTGATTTCTTTTCAAAGCAACAGAACAGTTACAAGTTGAGGGCAGTTATGTAAAGAGTCAAACACAAGGAGTTAGTGGAAAATCAAAATTAATTTTGTTAAGTTAATTAAGCAACTTTCTTCCCTGTATCCCATATCTCTGCTTGGTATATGTGGCTCTTTAAATTCCTACTTTACCTCCTAGCTTGATTTTTTTTTCTGTCTTAGAGGTCCAGAAGCAACTTCATAAATAATAAATAAAAATCTAAATATGATTTGTTTCATGGTAGTCAGTATGATTTAGCATTGCAAAGTTCTAGCTTGCTTTATAGTTCCTGATCCAGAAAGTTACGTAACTTTTGACTTTATTTCTGAAGATTAACTGTTTATGTGTAGTGGCTGATATAGTTGGCTGTGTCCCCACCCAAATCTCATATCTTGAATTATAGCTCCCACAATTCCCACGTGTCATGGGGGACCCAGTGGGAAGTAATTGAATCATGAGAGCGGGTAGTTCTCATTCTATGCTCATGATAGTGAATAAGCCTCATGAGATCTGATGGTTTTTTAAAGGGGAGTTACCCTGCACAAGCTCTCTCTTGCCTGCTGCCATGTAAGACATCCCTTGCTCTTCCACCATGATTGCAAGGCTTCCCCAGCCTTATGGAACTGTGAGTCCATTAAACCTCTTTTTCTTTAAAATTCCCCAGTCTCAGATATGTCTTTAACAGCAGTGGAAAAACACACTAATACAGTAGTGGAGAGAGAAAGGCAACAGAGAGAAGAAAGTCCTTTAAGGAAAGCATTTTGGACTTTCTCTGTCATGTCCCTTGAGTATAGATTATGTTGGTACGGTATCAGCTGATGTATCACAATATTTGTTGGGTGATAAGTTGGATAATAAAATGTGGATCATTTCCTTTAGTCAGGAAGATCAGGTGAAGATATCCAAATCCAGGGTTAGTCCCACACTAAACTTTTCACACAGTATATTCATATCCTAATCATTCCTAATTATTACATCCCAGTCAGGCCTGGCTTGCTCTGAACCAGGTCTTTCTTCACATTTAAAATTCACACCCACTCCCCACCGCTCAACCCACCCTTGGGATATCAC